AAAAAAAAAAAAAAAAAAAAAAAAGTAGTGCTAAAAAAGAAAGAAAGGAGACAGGAAAAAAACACTTGCCAAAATGCTGTTTTTCACAAACATTTTCTCAACATTATGATTTTCTAAAGAATGTTTCCTCTTCTAGTTTTCTCATGAGGTCTATTGGCACCAGTGGTTCACGTCTCAAGAGCCACTCAGACTTCACAGTGTGGCTTGTTCTGTGACAGATGCAAAAGTCCAGTCACTGAATTCTACTAATACTTCCTGTTTGAACTAGTTTTGTATTTTGCATCTCTGCTGCCATTTGCTTTGGGCCCTAAAAATAAGCTGTACTGAGAAAGACAGAGAAAAATCAAAATAACAAAACATGGAAGGTTGGACGTTCGAAAATCAGACAGGTTGATAAGAAAGCAGACTCACCATATCTGTTGGGACGGACGGGAGAGAATTTAAACTAACAAATCAGCAGGTCACGTGTTTATGTCTTTGGCTCATAAAAATCTCAACTATCCAATCCTCCTGTCATTTCTTTTGGTGCAGGTGGGGAAATTTGGCAGCTCTACAACCTGCTCACCATTTCCTTCAGGAAAGGCAGAAATTTCAAACTGACTTACAGCCTCCCCCAAACCATAAAACCCTAAGGACTCCTGCTGCCTGTCTCCAGCCAGCCCAGACCTGTTTGCGTGCCCCTAGTCATAAAACTGCTTGCAAATGCTCTCGGTGAATAATAGGGTCATAAGCCTATACATCTGACCTAAAATTAGGAAGGAAGAGGGTAAATGTGCCTCAACAGAATGACCAGAAAACACTTATAACACTAAAATTCCAATCTAAATTTTGTTCGAAAAAATATGACTGTTGGCAGGGGTGGGGGGTTGGGAGGATGTAGCTCAGTGGCGCCATGCCTGCCTTGCAAGCTCAAAGTCCCGTTTTCAATCCCTGGTACAAAAAAATGACAATAATAATAAAATAAAAATATATTGTATAAATATATATAAGCAAATTTTCTGTCAAATAACAACAACAAAACAAGAAATAGAAGGAAAGAAGGAGGGATGGAAGGAAAAAGAAAGAAGAAAGAGAAAGAAAGTCCACAGTCTACATGAGAAGCGAAATCATAATGTCTGGTGACAGTGGAATGAGAAGTTAGACGTTTTGACCACTCAATTTTTTTTTTTTTGAGACAAGATCTTGCTTTGTAGTTCAGGCTGGCCTTCAATTATGTAGCCCAGGCTGTCCATAAACTCAGCAATCCTCCTGCCTCAGTCTCTCAAGTTCTGGGGTTACAGGCAGGCGTCGCCACATCTGGCTCATGACTATTCTTAAAACTCTTCTCTATGCTTCTAGAACACCATTCTTGGTTCTCTTAGTTGTCCATGTATGCTCATTTTTCCTAAGATTTCATTATAGCTTTTGGAGGGCAACTGTGAAAATCGAGCTAAAATATCTGGCGGGGGGCTGCACACATGTAATCCCAACACTCTAGGAGACTGAGGCAGGAGATCATCAGTTCAAACCCAACCCAGTCAATTTACGGACTTAGAAAGACTTGTATCAAAATGAAAAATAAAGGCTTGGGAATGTAACTCAATATGATGGCCCTGGGTTCAACCGGCAGTACTGCAAAAATTAAAAAATTAAAAACAGAGATAAGGACATCAAATGTTATGGTTTGGGTCTAGATGTTTCCCCAAAGCCTCATGTGGTCATAGGTAGGTTTTTCAGAGGCGGCTGAATCTAGAGTGTGTGATGCTGGTATCAAGGGCCTGTGATTATTAAACCAGTACTCTGATTGCTTTGGCATCACCCTTATCCAGGTAGTCTGGATGAGATAAAAGGGGCAGAGAGACACTCTTAGGGTTCCCTTGTTGCTTTGCTACCTTTTGCCCACTGTGAACAGTTTCTCTGCTGTGCCATTCTGCTTTGGAGTCAGCTGATTATGGACTGAAACCTCTACAAACTGTGGGCTAAATAAACCATTCCCCCTTTAACTTTGGGTGTTGGGTATTTTGTCTCAGCAATGAGAAAAATAACTAACATGACACCATTTTAAAGTATACAAAATAATTATTTTTCATATATATTGACAATATTGTACCATAATCATGATCCGTTTTCAGAACATTTCCACTATCTCTCAAAGAAACCCTATATGTTATGAATTTGGTCTCCCAATTCTTCCTACCCTAAATGTCCACTGGTCATTAATTAACTTTGCATATCTATGGGCTTGACATCATATATAAACAGAAACATATCATATATAGTTTTTGTGTCTGATTTATTTGACAAGACATTTTTAAAAATTTTTATTGAGTTTATTGGTACAATCTAGGTATACAATACAATTACATTCATTATTGGGATCCTGTACCTTTACATGATAGGTCTCGATTTTCATTTTTTCCCCTTGTCCCTGCCCTCCCTTC